GCCCTTATGAGCTCACAGACAACAGACTACACTCAGCTCCTTGATTACGTTTGAATCTAAACACTTGGTGACTTTAACATGGAGTCCAAACGTTTAGAGCCAGTGAACACGTTTCATGTACAAACCTCCACAAACTCTGTAACATCAGTCAGAGGAGGAGGAAGTGACCAGTTCAACATTTACTACAATAAAAGTCAGATTCAGGTTACTTCGTCAAAAAGCTGTTTTTACAGCATAAATGAATGTTTACAGCCTGGATCCAAAAAACAAGTAAGTCTGATCAGTTATTATCCTGTCTCTCACACACCCCTGAGACTGGGGGATGTCTCGCGCGAGATTTCTCCCGAAGCACCCTGTCTCATGTACATTGGAAAGAAGTACAAACAACCTAACTAGGACTCAAAAGCCAACGTGTAAAAGTGTGTTTTGAGGCGGGAGTTATAAGATTCCACAGAGGAGGCCCATGTTAGAGGATCTGAGGGGCCTGGCCGCTGTGAAGGGGCTGAGGAGATCAGTAATAAAGAAGGTGCCAGGCCATTTAGTGCTTTAAAAACAAACAATGCAACCTTAAAATCAATTCTGTAACCAATTGGAAGCCAGTGATGAGAGGCTAAAACAAATGACATTGTCATCCAGATATGCTGCAGCAAAACCAGAGAAATCACAAAGTACCTAGTCCATGAGTTTCTAGAAAGTTGCTGGAGCGCCGTGCAACCCAAATGGGATTACTGTGACCTGGAAAGGGCCCCATGGTGTCCTGAAGGCTTTTCTAGCCTTTCAAGCAGTTCATCAACTCTTGGTGTTGGATAGGAATCAAATTAAGAAATTTAATTCAGGTACCTGAAATCAATGCAGATCCTTATGCTTCCATCCTTCTTTGGTACGATTACAACTGGGTTACACCACTCGATGATCAGGGACAGCATCAGGTCAACCTCCCTCCTCAGTGAGGCCGACAGGCCCTCAGGGATCCTGTAACTTAATCTTCTCACAGAAACAGGATTCTCCTGGAAAACTTTTGAATTACAGATAGATCTAACCTGAAGACTTTGGCCGTCTGAGAGGTTACTAAGGGCACGGTCACATTGGCAATCCATTCACCCCTAAAGTCCAGCTCGTTTGACCAGTGTGACCACTCCGTGCCGTGCTCAGACACGGTACGCTTCCTTGGCCGTGGCACGCTTCGGAGAGGTTTGCTTCGGCACGGTTTGCTTCGGCACGGTACAGTTCATGCACGAGCACAAGCACGCGGGTAAACAACGTTGACAGCCTTTATTATAGAGAAATCCGGAGTTCTCTGGCTGTATCTGACTAACATGACTCAAAATAAAACCATGAAGTAGCTGTCATGTTCTCAGATGTGCAGATGCGGACTCTACCACGCATCACTTTGATTTTTTAAATGTATTTATGGCTGTATCTGATTAAAATGACTCAAAATAAGCCACAAAGTCAGTTATGTGTAGTACGCTACTGGAGCGTGAGTGCCCTGGTGTTTATCCCTGGTATGTAGTTGGCCCAAGTTTCTTTAGGATTTGGAATGGCCCTTGCCATTTAGCCAACAGTTTGTTGCCATCACTAGGTAGGAGCACCAGCACTTTCTGTCCTGGGTGGAAGGATCTCTGCCTGGCTGACTTGTTGTACCAGGACTTCTGTTGATGCTGGGGGTCCGCCATGTGCGATTGGGCCAGCTCACCCATTTTCTCCAGCCGCTCTCTCATCTGGATGACATAGGATACATTGTTAACAGATCCCACCCTCCCCTTGCCCCCTCCGAGATCTCTCTCAACAGTGCCAACATGGAAATATAAGAGTTGATGTCTTGAGACAAAATTGGCCACAGAATCTTTCTTTTTTTTTTTTTTTTCACGTTTTGAGTATCTGGCTGCAAGTAACAAGTGGTAAATTGACCCATTGTGATGTCTTGTGGCTTTTTGCAGCTACAGTGCTATCGGGGGAAGAGAGAAGCATAGTTTTTCAGAAGAGCTAATAATAATGATCCTAAGTGAAACAAGAAGTACGGTTGAATAAATATGCAGCAGTAAGGGTGACAATTTTGCAAAACAGGTTCTGTCTTTCTCGATATGAGGATGCTGTTTCTTTGCAAAAAGGTGTGGAAACTCCCACATAAGAGCGCCTCACTCTGATGATCACAGACTTAATACAAGTGGATTGCTGTTGAAAGATATGAGTTTTTTTGATATGAACTGATGCTGTCCATAAACAACAAGCTGCTCTGCATAGTTTACCATAATTTGACACATATCGGAAAAAAGACACGAGAAAAGCAGAAAAGCAGAACCAGCCAGACCTCAAGGAAATGTGAAAAAACCACAAACACTTTTTTAATCAGATAGTTTATCTTGTGAGACAGCGCACTCGTCAAGGGGATTATTTTCGGCAGCCAGAGAGGCAACATCTCTGACAACATGCAATGCAACTTCAACGGGACTCTGCTGATCAGTGTGCTGCCTCCACTGCTAGCGACAGAGTTTGTTTTTGGATTATTAGGAAATGGCTTGGCTCTCTGGATCTTCTGCTTCCACCTGAAGCCGTGGGAAGCAGCACAGTGTTGCTCTTCAACCTGGCAGTGGCTGATTTTCTCCTCACCATGGCTCTGCCTTTCAGGGCCAGCTGCTACAGCTCTGGGATAAAGTGGAGGTTTGGCGGCGCTTTTTGCAACATCTGCCTCTTCTTGCTGGCGATGAACCGCAGCGGCAGCACCGTCTTCTTCTTGATGGTGATCGCCTTGGACAGATACATGCACGTGGTGCATCCCCATCACCCCATCAACTCTCTGAGCATCTCTAAAGCTTGGCGTGGAGGTCTGGCACTGTGGCTGATCACCATCTGCATGACCACTCATGTTTTCACCTTAAAGCACATCAACACAACTTACTGTGAGAGCTTCATGACCAACACTGAACCCAGCCACAACCTGACCTGGCATAAGTTTGAGTTCATCTTCTCCTTCTATTTGCCTCTGCTTGTGATTCTCTACTGCACGATCCACATAATCGTCGTCCTGAGAGGGAGGCAGCTGGTCCAGGATGCAAAGATTCAGAGGGCTCTATGCTTCCTCACGGTGGTGGCAGTGCTCTTCATTTTTTGCTTCCTCCCGAGCAACATCATGCAGCTGCTGATTTGGATCACGACCAAGAAAGTACACAGCACCCTGCAGGAATCTGAAGTCTGCCCGGCACTGGAAGACCTGACCACAGCTTTTTACATCAGCATCAGCCTGACTCTCAACAGCGCATTGGATCCTTTGGTCTACTACTTCTCCAGCTCTGCCGTTAAGAACAGCTGCAGGAAAGCTCTTCATCTGCCCTAAGCAGACACAGCAGAGAGTACGCAGATGAAAACTCGAGAGACAGACTCCCAGTCACTCAGTCAGCTGGCTCACAGAGAGAGTATTGAGGGGATCATTGAGATGGAAGCAGTAAGATGAAAACCTAACATTTTACTTCTTTCGTCCAGGAGATGTCACCTAAATGTTTGCTCCACATAAATTAATTTCCTTTGCAAAACATGTGCAGGCAGCTTTACTTGTCATTTTTTGTATAAGTGTCTCGAGATAACACTGACGCTATATAAATAAAGATTGATTGATTGTTTGTTTGTGATGCTTTGTCAGAATTGGTTCAGAATTTCAATGAACATTTTAACCTACAAATAATGCAGACAATCGGGACTTTGCTTGGAAGACGCTGTTCATGGTTTTTCAGAGAATAGTTCTGTTGATCTAACAAATTTCTAACATGTCAGAAACTTCCTTCAGGGAGAAATGGAGGGTGTGTCCTTTAATCACCTGTTGGTATGTTGATGAACCAGCTGTGGTATTTCCTGGTCTCAGTAGGACTCTGACTCTGTCTCGTTCTGACGCAGATCTGTTCTCCGTGTTGAAGGTAAAGACACTTTTCACTGTTTTTTAAGACTCTCTGTTTGATTTAAGTGTCAAAAGAGCTGTAAGTTATCAGTTAGCCACCAGGTTCATAAGCTGCTCTGATTATAGTAGAAGTGCAGGGAACACAATGACTCTCAGTTAGCATGCAGGCTATGCTAACATGCTAACAGTACAGTTTTACACAGCAGAGGGAGGGCGTGGAGTCTGTCCTCATCAGTTAGGACGAAAAATAATCACTCCATCAGCTCAACTGGTTCCACAACTTCTCTGAAACTGGACGGTTGCCAAGCAACACAAACATTCCTCTGCACCCACAGCAGAGATCAGCACAGACCAGAGACCTTATTATGCAGCTCTATAAGTAGAATTACTGCAGTGGAATCAGTGTGTGATTCTAGTAGATAGATTTATAAAGACAAACTCTGTCTGCTGTAGTTTCTCTATGATGCTCTTATTGAATGTCTCCTTCCAGTCAGACAGCTGTGTCAGATTGATCTAACCAATGGGGATTCTCAGTCTGTTGGGCCCTTCACAGGGGGGTCCTCCAACCATTCATCACCAATATGTGATCAATAATCTGACACCTACAAAAAAGTGCTCTGTATAAACATTTATCTTCAAAGTTCACAGAAGTATTATTTCCAACATAAAGAATCTCTCCCCGATAGTTAGACTAGACTCGCAGCATTCGGTCATTTACTGTTACATTTCATCTTCACTGTCTGCTCCACCACTGCTCCTCTGTTTTCACTCTCAGACGAATAATTCATTTCACAGGAATAAATCATGTGACTCTTAGCAGAGCGATGAGAGTGAGTGCTGTCAGATGGGGCCCCCTTAGGATCCGATCACACAGAGACGCAACTCGCCTCAAAAAAACACCTGAACGCAGCTGAAGAAGAACAGCTGGGAGCGCCTGTGGAGCAGGGCTGTGTGTGCATACGGGCAACCGAAATGAAATATGTTTGCTCCAAGAGGAGGAGGGAAAAATGTCATAAAAAGCGGGAGGTCAAACCTACTTGATTTGATTGGCTACTTTAGTGACATTGACGATCGCTGAGACCTCTGCTTCTTGATCAAAAAAGTTGAAAATGTTTAAACTTTTATGCGTACCCAAAAACTGCTAGAAAAATGTGTTCTTGCAGAAACAAAGAAGAGCGCCCAGCAACTGAACTCCATCATGTGTTGTAGTGACAGAGTGCAGCTCTCCCAGCAGGGGGCGCTCTGCTATGGATCAGTGTGAGGACACAGAGGAGGGAGTCCCTCCCTCTAAAACCTCTCTGTGAGGAACATGAAGCTCTGAGGTGAGGATCTCTAACTGTCCATGACCCTCCATGTCACAGCTCAGTACTCACATCACTCTACCTTCATCATCATCATCATCATCATCGTCATCGTCATCGTCATCGTCATCGTCATCGTCATCATCACTGTCCATCTGCTGCTCACAGTAAATAATGTGTGTTTTTTTGTATCAGGATGCAGGAACAGAGACCAGACTCTCCTGGACCCAGCTGTGTGTCCATGAAGAGTGACGGGTCTATGGGTCGCCCTGTTGACTTAAAGATGGACGTCCTGCTGATGGAAGGTAAGAATTAAAAATCAAGTTAATGTTATGTTTCTGTTGTTGAAAGTCTCATATCTTTGCTCAGAGTTCATCACCATCATCATCATCATCACATCACACCATCGTCATCGTCATCGTCATCGTCATCGTCATCATCATCACTGTCTCATCTGCTGCTCCAGTAACTAATAATGTTGTTTTTTCTATCAGGATGCAGGAACAGAGACCAGACTCTCCTGGACCCAGCTGTGGTCCATGAAGAGTGACGGGTCTATGGGTCGCCCTGTTGACTTTAAAGATGGACGTCCTGCTGATGGAAGGTAAGAATTAAAAAATCAAGTTAATGTTATGTCTCTGTTGTTTAAAGACTCATATCTTGGCTCAGAGTTTTCATTATATATATCCCGTTGTTTTCTTGTGTAATAGTCCTGTCACAGAGTTCAACAGGA